TTACTCTACTATGCTACTATTGGCTATTAGTTTCTTTGGACAAAATTTGGTTATTTCACTCATCTACAAACTGCTTTTCATAGGAAATACAGTAACTTGCACACATGTATGTAGTAACAAAGCAATTTACAGGATTGTACCAGTGTATAAAGGATGGGTGTTTCAGTGTTGTATGTGTGTGGTATATAGGACCTCATGAAAATAGTTACTGGAACACACCAATAACACTGAATATCATTATTATTATGTTTGCTATTGCAAAAAGAATATACATTAATCTTCATCAGTGCTGCTATTCCAGTTGCTGTTCTGTAACATGATCTGTTCCCATTCTCTTCTCTCCATCAGTTCTCTCTTTATCTCTGACTTGTTAAACTTTATCTCTCCGTTACCATGACAACATATGTGAACGGCACACAGTATAACATGTATTATTATAATATAATAATAACTAAATCATCATCATCATTCTAGCACTGTTGCTGTAACTAACAGAAGGATATGAACAAGATAATATAATAGAAAATTGAACAATATCAATATTAATATTACAGAATCTTGTATACAGTAGGATGGATGGTGGTGGGTCTACTCCCTGTATCTCTCCATGGTGTGGGGAGAAATGGGAACTACTGAACTGTGATGAAACTGATTGTAATGGAAATGGAGTTTGTACTAATGGTAAGAAAGAAAATGGAAGTAGAAATGCAGAAAGTAGAAGAAAGAGAGGGGAAAACTTTAAGAAAGAAAAACTTTATACTTCTATAACATACAAGGTTTTACTCTTCATTACATTTAGGATCTTGTAAGTGTAAAGCAGGATGGTATGGTAGTCTCTGTGAGAAATGTTAGTCATTCTACTTCACTTTTAAAATGATCTATTTAACTAATTTTTTATTTTTCCTATAACTTGTCCACATAATAGATATGGTCCTGGTTGTGAATACTCTTGTTATTGTAATGATAATGGAGTATGTCATCATGTAACTGGATCATGTATATGAAATACAGGATATACTGGATCACACTGCATGGAAAGTAATGAGCTTATAATGTGCTTAATCCTTTCCCTGTATCATCCTCTTTCTCTTCTTGTATTTTCCTCACTTAGGAATACAGCATAATACTGCATGAGCTTTTGTAACTTGCCACTTTTAATAATTAAACAATCACAAAATAAAATTAAATAATTTAAACTATTAATTCCTTTGTTATGCATAATTGTATTGTTTTTAGTCATTAATTTTGCTTCATTGAATTCCTCTCTACCTAATTCTTTGTACTGGACTATTCTCCCTAGCTCCTTTTCAGTGCATGCTGCTATGTAGTAAATAACCATTAATAGCATTATCATTACAAATAATTCATAGAAAAAATCAGCATAAATACTATGACATAAAAGTAGCTAAAACATTTAATAAGATTAAGCATCACATTTATCACTACTAATATCACTTAATGAATCTAGACTCAAGTTAGAAGGAACACTTCTTATACTACTAATATCTGATGCAGCTGTATGATATCCAGTGGTATGAGAAAATACACTACCAGCATCATCAAGAGTGGCATCATCTTGTTGCTCTAAATTGTATTCCCTTAAGTAACTATAAAGTAATAGAGATATTTCAATAGTTTTTGCAAACTTCAAAGCAGTGTCGCCTTTTCTGGATTCAATAGTTGGATCAGCTTTCCATTCTAATAACAACTTAACTACTTCATAATGTCCTTTATCACTGGCAATCATTAAAGCAGTATGACCTTTTCTGTTTTGAACATTAGGATCAACTTGTCCCTTTAGCAAAAGTTCAACTATTTGAGTGT